CCGCACAGGGTCCCGGGCCCCCTCAGACCAGCAGCCCCCGCACAGGGTCCCGGGCCCCCTCAGACTAGCAGCCCCGCACAGGGTCCCGGGCCCCCCTCAGACCAGCAGCCCCCGCACAGGGTCCCGGGCCCCCTCAGACCAGCAGCCCCCGCACAGGGTCCCGGGCCCCCTCAGACCAGCAGCCCCCGCACAGGGTCCTGGGCCCCCTCAGACCAGCAGCCCCACACAGGGTCCCGGGCCCCCCTCAGACCAGCAGCCCCACACAGGGTCCTGGGCCCCCTCAGACTAGAAGCCCCAGCTCGGGTCCAGGCCCCACATCCAATTCTTCTGAAGCAACTCTGAAGACATCAGCCTGTCTGGGTATGACAAACAGTGCTAAAGGGGACGGACACATCTTAGTTCAAGAGGAAGTCAGTGAGGAAACAGGACGAAAGCATGGTCACTGAGTCACAGATCCGGCTCAGGGGTCGATCCTGAACTGTAGCCTTATCATCCCTGGGTGGTGAGAGAACGTTGCCCAGAGCTCAAGAATGAACTGAGGCAACGAAACGAAGCCCAGGGCAGCGTGCCAGCCACGGAGGTCCCACCCCGTCCACCAACGTGCCCACCTCTGTGGCTTCAGGGCCCTCACTCCTCGACGCCCACAGGGCAACACGAGCAGTGCGGCACTTCTGTAAGCCTGGCTCGCCTTCTCTTTTTGCTGATACTACCACCTTTGCTCACCCATCAACTTCTCGGGGGTAAGAAGTCTTTTCACGTGCGTCCCCCGGGCACACTGTCCACATGTCTGCACCTGTCCTTGGTAAATCCCACCTACATTTCCCTGTGTTAGGGCTCAGCTCTGCAGGACAGCCGTGGAGACTAAGGGCAAGGACCCCGCCCGTGCTCAGAGACACTCAGCAGGGACAGGAAAAGGTGCAGGATCCCTGGGACAGAAGAGGCATGGCTGCCACCTGCCAGCACTATACACAACTGGGGCGCTTCTTCCTTGGCACGAACTAGCGACACGCTCCCTCTGAGGAGCCTGCTGCTCTCAGTCACAAGGCGACACCAAGGCCAGGCCACCCTCCGCAAGCACAGGCCCTGCCCCGCAGAGCCGTCTCCCCGCCCCACAGCGGCCTCCCTGCTGCCTTCCCACTTGGGGTGAGGCCACCACTCAAGGATGTTGACTTAACAAACCTGCTCAAGAGCCTCCTAAGTAAATCTCTGGATAGAAAAGTTAAGACAATAGAACAAGTCCCTGATCTCCCTTTATTTCTCAGAACACAGCCAAAAGGGTGCTTCTCATTCTGTGGATTCAGGAACTTATATTAAAAAAGAATACATGATAAATGAACCAGAAAAAGAAAGAAAGGCATAAAAATATAATTTTTAATACAAAAATGAAAATCCTGAAAACTTTTCTCCTCAAGTTCAAAGACAGCAGTTGGCTTTCAGCCCAATACTGACTCTGGAAACTCGAATCTTCCTACGAGCCAAACCATGGGGCACCCTCCAGAGGGGAGCTGGTGCTTCCCAGCCGCTGCCCGCCAGGGACAGAAAGAACTCCTGTCTCTAGGGAGGCAAAGTCTGAAGGAATTTTATTAAGGCCAATTCACATTCTTGACACCATCTAGTAGACACTTACTGGTCTTAATGTAATTATTTAACACCTCAGAAATAATTCAATGGCGCAGAGCCACTTGAACTAACACGAGTCAGAATTGCTGCTCCTGCCTGTGGGATGAGGTGGGAGAATGAACTGAACACCAACACGCAGCAGGACTTGTCTAATCACCTCAACAAAAAGGTCATTTAGGGATGAACCATGTGCTCACTCAGGGAGAGCTAAATCCCGTACAGGAAGCCATCTTTAAAACTGTTCTCTTTAATGAATTGTTCCCTGAGGGATGAAAATGGAAGCAACAACCTAGGAGCTGCTTCATGGCTCCTGCCTTCTATGAACAGTTACAGCCTGAGTGCCTGAAACGAGTTGAAGTCACGTTTCCACCTGATTTTGCTCATGGCTTAGTCAGCGTAGCAGAGCCCAAGAGTGACACAGAGGAGTCACAATTTCTGAGGTCACAGTGACCAGGGATGTTGAACATCTTACACTGACAGGCAGGAACCGACTCTGGCTTCAGATTAGCACAAGGTGAGCTCTGCCTGCTGTTCTCTGCACAAATGTTCAATTCTAAGAAGCTAAAATGACACGTTCAAAAGGTGTAGAGAATACAACACACAGGACACTCCAGAGAACACCTGCTATAACCACCATGTTTATAATGACACCTACATAGTCATGCGTGCATCCTGCTGCGGACTGGCTGTGGGACTGTGGACGAATAACTCAACATTTCTGTGTCGAATTCTGTCAGCAGCGATGTGAAGGGGTTAGACTAGAAAAGCCCTATAACCCTCTTAGCTCTCGACTCCGGTTCTCTGTACACCAAACAATGAAAGCAAACTTGTTAGCCCACTATGCAATTTCTTGACCTCGCCAGTCTTGAATCAAGTTATCAGTGACACAGTCCACTGTCAAACAATGGTGCAGATGAAAGGGAAGTTATGCCACACGGAGCTCTAGGAACAAAAATGCAGGTCATCACGCATCTCCCAAGGGCAGGAAATAGAGACAGCAGCCTCTCTCTCTAGGTACTCATCTTAGACAGGACGGTGACACTGCCCAACAAGCGCTCTATGCCTTACGCCCTCAGAACCCTGAAGATGGCCAGAGACGTTCATCAGCAGTGTGAGGCTAAACCAGGCACTGAATGGTCCTCCTCAGCTAGCAGGCTCCCTAACGACTACAACCCCGTGGTCCAGACCTCATCAAGAAGGCGAGGAGACTGGCATCAAGCTGCAACCTAAAGTTCAAACCCACACTGTGAGGGTGAGGCTGAGCACTCGAGTGCCTCTAAGATGCAATGTTTCCCATCAACAGCCCGAGCTGTTCCCAGAGGAGTGGTGGAGGCTCCCACTGAACAGGGAACACCCAGACAGCCCTCGGCTTGTGAGGAACACACCCTGAGCACGAGCTCAGCTCACAAGCACACACACTGAGGCTGCAGCGGCCTCGAAAGCTCCCAAACCCCCAGACCAAACACGTTCAGAGGAAGAAAGACAAGAACCCAAGGAGTCTATCTTCTTATTTTTACATGAATGACACGGTCACGTACAGAAACAAGAGGGAACCACCAGAAAAACAACGGCTGGCGGGAAAACCGTGACGTCAGTGAGCCTGGCAGAGAGTGTGGTCCAGGTGGGCAACATCTTCCATGGAAGACGTTCCAGGAAGAACGTGAGGCTGGGAGAAGAACCACAAACAAGGAAGACTCACGGAGCGGTGAGCGAGACCAGGGATGGAAGGCAGGCCCCACACATGCTGGGGGCTCAGCTCTTGCAATCCCCTATGTGTCCATGCATAGATAAGGATCACTAACAATGCCGTCATCTTGGAGTGATGAAACAAATGAACATATCTACGCACATGTAAGATGACTCACTAGTTCTGACCTAATGAGCCGAATGAGCCGGAAATAAAAACTTCCACTTCTGTTCCGTAGTGTAGAAAACACTACAAATATGATCAGTTTGCCAACACATGCA